GACAGTCCCTGGCCAGCAGGGGCGGATTGCAGACGTCACTGAGGATTACTTCCTCAAGTGCATTGTTCCTGTGGGCAAGAAAAAAACTCCGCTGAATCTCGAGACCGTGAATGGCTCCATCATCCTACCGTCAACCGGCGCACGGATTGTAAAAGACAAGCAGTTAGCCCAGCTGAAGTCACGGTTCATCGCCAACAAGATTCCAGAGTCTGTTCAGCGGTTTGAGCGCATGTGGAAGGTAGCAGAAAGGCAGCGCCAGGGAACCGCTCGCTCGGATCCCGACCTGTTCGTATTGGCGGATTCAGACGCCTGTTTTGTGTGCTTGCAGGGCAAGGCAGATAACACCAATGTCTCCAATGTGGTAGACGAAGACGACGGGGGCGACTCTGATCCAGATGTGAAGCACGACAACGTGGATGAGGACAAGCAGTTGTCGGTGTGTCACTTCTGCTTGCTTTGCAGTCACACACACTGCGCCCAGCAGCTGGTGGACGCTTTCCATAGCGATACAGTCTGTGGGAATAGCTGGCGATCCTTGGAGCTTCGTCAGTCACTGCGTGAGAGCATTCCAGACCACTTGTCACTGCGTGACAGGCCGGGCCCGGGGCTTTGCAGTTCAGAGGTTTTGAGTATGATCTTGAATCTTGAGCTCATTTAGCGCCGCTTCGCAGATTCACCCCAAGATAGCGATCACTGTCGTTTCACGCTGGCCATTGTTTCAACCGGGGCAGTCCTTTCAATGCGGCAGTGGTGGGCAGGCTCAGTGGGCAGGGATGGGCGGGCAGACAGACGCGTGGGCGGTTGGGCAGGCCGTGTGTGGGGGCGGTGCACGCGTTGCCAAGTGGGTGGTTGCTCTGTGGCCGTTGCCTTGCGTTGCATCATGCCCTCACATGCTTCCTCTTTGCATTTTGCTGCGCGGCCGGTTCGCGAGCATGTTTCATGTTTCACTGTTTCACCAGAATGTGTCAGTGTGCTCACGCTGCGCATGGCCGCTGTGCAAGTGCATATCTCGCCGTCTCACCATGGAGCGCTGGAGCGGTGTGCTCATATTGTTTGACGTGACGTCCGGCTTCCTACTGGCATTCTGCATAGGCATAGTTTATGCATCGTCGCTGCGCATGTCTCACCGTCTCACTGCAGTGCGCCAGTGCGCAAGTGCAAGTGTGCTGATGTCTCACGTTGTTTGCCATTTGCCTTCCAGGTCGGAGTTGACATGAAACGTAATGACATGAAACGTGCCAACAGCAGCTGTGTGGTAGCCCAACAGTAACAGACTGAGAGACTGCATACTGCACTGCATACTGCACTGCATGCCGCATGCCTGCACGCGCTGGCTGACTTTGATCTTGGCGTATCTGCTGTTTCACACAGCCTGCCTGCTTGGCGATTCACCAAGCATAAGCACAATCACAATATATCACAGTCATGTAAGCTCTACATTTTGGACAGGCTGTGCCCGTGCTGTATGACGCTGTGGTCTTCAGACGCAAGATGACGTAAGCCTGCAGGCGAGGAGGCGAGGACTGGACCCGAGCCTGAGTTGTGAATTGTCAAGTTGCCACGCTCGTCGTCATGTATCAGTTGTTGGTGACAGTACGGCAGGAGGTATGTAGTTATGTAGAGTATGGTGAGTGAAGTATCAGTCCTGCCTGCAGTTGTGACTTCAGCCAGCCATTATCAGGCACCACAGGCAAGAGGCGACGAAGAAGGCTCAGGCTCACTGCTCAGTGCTCAGTCTGCTCAGGACACGATTTTCCCTTTAGCTGTGATGACACTCTTTGGCTGTCGCCAGGACTTTGAATTCCCTGACTATGTGCGGCTCATGTCCCTCACGCTGGCGTCGAGTCCAACCGCTTCCTGTACAGCCCAGCCCGAGCCTGAGTTCGCTGAGTTCACCTTTGGAAAGTGGAAGCTGGCAGTGTGCGCTGCAAGTGCATGCGCTTTGGTCTGCTTCGGTCATGCGCATGTGAGACATGAGTGAGACGTGTGTGCTGCAGTATTGCATTGACCTCATGCGCATGTGAGACATGAGTGAGACGTGTGTGCTGCAGTATTGCATTGATCTCAAGTCAAGTGTCAAGGCTGTCAAGGTGATCAGTTGATGTCATTCAGTTCAGTGTCAGTGGTATCAGTCATGCTTATCAACTTGCGCAGCCGCAGACACGGCATCTGACTTCGGGGTCAAGCAGTCTTTTTCGCCTTGCGCGTAAGATGGACATGGATGATAAGCCTGGGCATAAGGCAGAGGCTGACAAGGGCGCCACGGTGCCTTTCTTCAGGGTTGCCTCGAAGAGCCAGCAAACCGGGCCATTGCCTCCCCCAAAACCATCGCGTTCGCCTGAGTGCCCTCCTTTGAGGTCTGGTGAGGTAGATGATGAGGCTGAGGACGATATGGTGGAGGTCGCGGTGGAGGACGCAGCTGCAGCAGCTGCAGCAACCTTGACGCCGAAGCACGCGCCCAAGGCCATGCCGGTGCGCAGAGAACCACTGCGCCGCCCAAAGAGTCCGGAAGGGCCGCCTCCCGTACAGCGCCCTGGAGCTCGACGGCCAAAGAGCCCGGAAGGCTTCGACCGCGGCAGCAGCATCCTCCTGAGCGTGCTAAATCCTCAGAGCAAGCTGAGCCAGTCCAGCCGCAACAGCAGTTCCACCTGACGCAACTACAACTACAGCGCAGCCACGGACAGCAGTCGCACCACCGCCGCCGCCACCGCCGCCAGCAGCAGCAGTTGCAGCGCCCCCGGCGCCACCTTCCGAACCTGCCGCCCGCAGTCCTTGCAACCAGCGACACCGGACTGTGATGGGCACCGCTGGCCGGGTCAAGATTGCCCGTGCAGCATCGGCTCAGCAGCCCCAGCCAGCAATGCAGACGCAGCAGCTGCCTCAGCAGGCGCCGCCGCAGCAGGCGCCGCCGCAGCAGGCGCCGCCTCAGCAGGGTTGCCGCAGCCAGCAATGCAGACGCAGCAGCTGCCTCAGCAGGCGCCGCCGCCGCAGCCCATGCCGCAGCCGCAGCAACAGACACCAATGCCGCCGCAGCAGAATGCTGCGCAGCCCATGCCAGACATGCCACAACAGTCACAACCGTTTGCGGCGCCAACAGGCATGATGCCAGTTCTGCCACAGCAGCTGCAGCATGTGTCGCAGCTCGACGTGCTGCAGTTACAGTTACTGCTCGAGCTGCGACGAAATCTGCAGCCACTGCCAGTGCCCGTGCAGCCCATGCAGTGTGGCCCTTTGCCAACGGTGCCGCAGCAGGCGGCACCGACAATGCCGCAGCAGCAGCGCGGCAGCAGCAGGCAGCTCAGCCACCTCCTACGACGCCGCAGCAGCAACAGCCGCAGCAGCAACAGCCGCAGCAGCAACAGCCGCAGTCGCAGGCAGCTCCTACGATTCCTACAAGGCTGCAGATGCCAGCAGGTGCTGGGACAAGGCGGTCGTCTCAGCCATACCAGAGGTCGCCTTGGTCGACGCAGGAGGTGCCATACGCTGTGCACCGTGTGAGGCGACCAGA